AGATCCCCGTCCCGGGGCCCTCACCTGGAGCCCCCAGACAATCCCACAGGGGCACCCCCACAGGGCTCCCCATGGCAGAGACCTGCAGGACACACGCCCCTCAGGGATCCTCAGGTTGAAGACCTTGCAGAGAACCGCCCCCCACCCCACATGGGAATCCGCATGTCAGGGACCTCACTGAGAAGCCCCACACCATGCAGGGTCCCCCACAAGTGCCCCCCGTGCCCCAGCAAGGGCCAACTGCCACTGCTGGCCCTCCCCGGCCCCTGCAGGGGGCACAGCCCCCATTGCAGTGACTCCCACCAGCCACCCAGAAGGGACCCTTCCTCACTGGTGCAGCAAAGCATGAACCAGCCTGGGCTGACCCCATCGCTGCGACACCGAGAGTCTCTGCTCCCCCAGGGAGGGCTCAGCACACAGGGCACACGCCAGAGCCAGCACAGAGGGGCTGGGCACAGCGTCCTGGGGCAGGGGACAGGCTGTCCCAGCTCCTGGGACCTGCTCTGCTCCTTTGATCAACTGCCTTCTCTCCACAACACCACCCATGCCTGCAGTTCGTCCCAGTGGCCCTGCCCCATCTGCAACCGTGATCCTCCATCTACACCAGCATCTGAGGGCCTCCTTGGCTTCTTCCCTGTCTGCCAGGGTGGACTCATGAAGGAGGCTGGACACCAGAAGGACAAGCAGGCGTGACTCAGGAGAGCTCAGCACCCTGCCTGTCTCTGGTTTTACAGAAAAGTCTGGTTCTGGCTCTGTTCATCCTGCAGTTGCTGGAGTGCTCCCCACTGTGAGGTCCCTGACACCCCTACTCAGAGGCGGCCACCACCAAGCGTGTGTCCGTGCCCGCCCTAAGCTGGCCACTGGCTGCAGGCTCCAGCAGCACCTCCACAGCCCATCAGGCGAGGAGCTGGGGCTGCCTGCCAGGGGGTTCCCAAACTGGCTGGAACTTGGACAACAGGATGTAGCGGTGCCCTTGTGCCAAGGTTTCAGGAGTGGGAGGAGGGCTGACCCGCGTTTCCGCCCCAGGGACCCGTCTCAGTCAGAAGCCACGTGCACACACACCGAGTGTGGCAGGCACCGCTACCGTTAGCTCCAGCACAGAGCAGAGGCACAAGCGGCAGCCACCACGGGCTGCTATTTCTGACAGCCCCCCTGCCAGTGAGGGCTAATTAAGGCCAGGAGGACCCTGCCTGCCCAGCAGGTCAAGCCCATGCTCCCAGGCAGGGACAGGCCGGTGACCGCCCTGCCAAGAGCAGATGGGACGCTGGGCTGAGCCCTGCAGGACTGTGCCTGGGACCGTGTCCGGTCCATCACTGGCTGGGATTCAAGGCTTTAATCTACGTGACAATCCTCAAACAGAAATAGCCCCCAAACCACTGAGAGCTGGAGAGATTTACAGTATGGCCTGGATCTGTCCAGGAAATGACTAATGGCTCTTCCTTCGGCCCTCCCACCCTGAGGCCGAGGGACTGCACAAGGCGGGCATCAGCCAGAGCCCGACTCTGCCAGGGCACCCGGCCCCCAGCAAGTCTCCCAGCTGGAGCAGCATCTGCTGCAAACGCCCTGCACTGGCTGCACTGACAGACGGGGAAGGATGCACCCTCAGACCTGGAAGTTCACAGGGGGAGTCTGACGAGCCCTGAAGCACGTGCACTGCAAGTCCGAGGCAGTAGCCCCAAGGGAGAAATCATGGCTCAATCATGACAAACGACGAGATCATCCCATGAGCCCCCGGCTGGTCCCTGGGCTCCTCCTTTCCTTCGACCCACACCTGCAGCCCTGTGCTGGAGAGCCACAGCTCCTGTCCGGCTGCTGCTGCTTCACAGAGGCAAGGAGCAGGGAGTCTCCAGCTTCCCCTGCACCCCCATCGCCCCTGGTCCTGCAGTGTCACCCTGGCATGGGTCAAGCCTGTGCCCGGACAGGAGGACACAGTGCCATGACAGTTTCAGCCATCCCCAACCAGTCCCTTTTTAAGGTACAACAAAACATCCTTGCCCAGCAGCAAAGCAAGCCAAAACCATGCGTTTCTGGGGTGCCTGTCCCGCAGCAGCTCTCCTGCTGGTCCCCCTGGGGTCAGAGAACAGCTCTCTAGCAGGGCAGGGGGGCAAGAGGAGAGAAGACTCGGGGTGTCAGAAAGCCCCCTGCTCCTCGGAGCTCAGAGCGATCCCCATCCTGTGTCTGTCCTGGCCCCAGGCAGAGGCACATGAAACCTGCAGCTCCCCAGAGAATGTACAATCATAGAATCATAGGATCGTCTAGGTTGGAAGGGACCTTAAAGATCATCTAGTCCAACCATCAACCTAACCCTGACAAAAAAATAAATAAGAAATAAGCAATAAACCATATTTCTGAGGACCATGCCAACCCATCTGTTGAAAACCTTCAGGCATCGTGCCTCAACCACTTCCCTGGGCAGCCTATTCCAATGCTGGATAACCCTTTCGGTGAAGAAATGTTTCCTAATATTCGATCTAAACCTCCCCTGGCACAACTTGTCCTTGTTTTTCCCCTTGTCCTATCTCCTGTGACTCCTATCTCCTGTGCTCGTGCTGGGGCCAAGCATCTCACAGGTCCCAGGAGAAGGGATGAGGGCTTTGCAGTAGAACGGCCACCTGGCAGAAGTGAGGGCTGCGAGGAACAGGCTGGGCTTTGAGTCAGGGACACCAGGGACGAGGTGGGGCTGGCGAGAGGAACAAGTGGATGAAACAGCCATGAGTCACCAACAGCCAAGGACCTGAGGTCTCTCACAGAATAAAAAAGACAAGGGAGTAAGAGTGGTCAGGAAGGGAGATACCTGTCGTGGTTTCACCCCAGCCAGCACCTAGGGCCACGCAGCCACCCACTCACTGCCCCCCCCCCTAGAAGGGTAGACAGAAAAGGGAGAAAAAGGAAAGGGAGAGGGGGGAACCTTGTGGGTTGAGATAGTTTAATACAACAGTAATAGAAGAGAAAAATCATAAATGATAGTAATGGCAAAAGAATATAATGGTAAAAGAATATACAAAATAAAGTGATGCAACACAATTTACTGTCACCAGCCAACCTTAAAAATCATCGAGTTCCAACCCCCCTGCCCTGGGCAGGGACACCTCCCACCAGCCCAGGTTGCTCCAAGCCCCCTCCAACCTGCCCTTGAACCCCTCCAGGGATGGGGCAGCCACAGCTTCTCTGCCCAACCTGGGCCAGGCTCTCACCACCCTCCCACCAAACAAGTTCTTCCCCACAGCTCAGCTCCATCTCCCCTCTTGCAGGGTCAAACCCTTCCCCCTTC